TCATTCAAATAAACCCCCACGTGCTTTTCTCCAAAAATAGAATCAGACGCCGTGACACCTCCTCGAGTTGCTGCTGATCTCGCCTGTTCCCTTTGGCGCTAAAATGGCGTCTTTTGTTTACGCGTCGAGGGATACGAGCGTAAGGAAATAAAGCGAAATTAATAATGTTGAGGATGATGACGGTATTAATGATAATAAAGAGGAGGAGGGTAATAATAATTATTAACCTGATAAATGATAACTCAAAATGGGCTTAAGGTATCAGCTGGTCCAGGGGTGGGTCCAGAGAACAAATCGGGGGGGGGGGGGGGGTCCCAAAAGTAACAGAAATTAAGGCCGCCCACTTCAATACTTATATTGTACAGTTACACGTTGTTTACGTTCTCGTCTTGCTTCTTTTCTTGGCCACATTCAATCAGCTGGGCGAACTTTTACCAAGTGGTAGGCCGACACACAGAACACTATGATGTTTGCTGTAGTTAGTCAGAAGTTGGTGCTTCTAGCTCTTGTACAGTGAACATAGCAGTGTTCTGTGTAGTAATTAGTGTTAACGAAGCACCACTTTAATTCTTACACTGTAAAGACAATATTCTAAATGAGGCTCAGCCGTTACAGAAGTTGGCAAAACACTGTTGTAACAGACTTAAGAGAACAGGTAGAGTTCTGTTCTTACCTTAGCTCGGTGCATCTAGGAGCATCGCCGTTGTAAAAAAAAAAAAAAAAAAAACATGACTGGTGTAGTTAGTTCAAGCCACTTCCTGCTTTTGTTTTCCAAAATACAAGACCGTGAGTTCATAACAGAGTCTAATCAAACGAGGTTTCAGCTTTACGTGCAGCGTCGACAGTGAAGACCGTGAGTTCATAACAGTCTAATCAAACGAGGTTTCAGCTTTACCTCCGTCTTAACGTGCAGCGCGTGACAATGAGCTAAAATTTAAGCAACGATTGACATTCCGACGCGCATTGGCCATTGGGGGGGGGGGGGCATTCAGAGTGCAAGGGGGCGGGTACCCCTCCGTGCCACTGTGGAAGCCCCGCCTCTGCGCTGGTCTGCATCCGGTTTGTTAATTAGATATGATTAGGGAAGATTAAAAAGCCTATTTTTGGTTTCCGTGATGATGAGGTTCTGAATCCTTTCTTATGCGATCAACGCTTTTTTGCTTTTTTGCTTATTTCTGTTTCATCGCTGTGATGAAATTATATACAAGTGATTAATCTAAAGCAATTAGATTATTTCTACAGTAAAGGCGTCAACAGGTTTTTTCGTATAACAACACAACACAAAACGATAAGATTGTAGTTGACATTTCCGTTATGGACTACGAGCTTATTTGCTTTCGTTGATTCATTCCAGGAGACTAATTCTCAACAAGATAAAAGAGAATCATTAGTACGTTAATCTGATTTCATTCCCGCTCGCTCTCGTCTCTCAAAACCCCATCGTTTTCCAAAATGAAGGTTTTTTGAGACAGAAGACCCGGATGGATGGTAATTTTGAGTTCCGAATATAAAATTTCACAGGTTAATTTTTCTTTTTTTTCTCTCTCTTCCTAATGAAGTGGTTTTGTAAACTAGTGTCGAATTGCTCGAAATAGATTCATTAGCGTTGGTTGAGGTTAAAAATGGAAGCGTTATTAAACATCAGGTCCGTTCTGATGTAAGATTTCATTTATTTATTTATTTATTTTTATTTTTTTTTATTTTTTTTTTTTAGTTATTTCTTTCTTCCACTAATTTAACGGAAATTTCGGCGTTCGGAAAATTCATATGTTTACTTCCTCTCTTTATGTGTATACGTGTTAATTCAAAGGGGAAAATTAAATATAGAAAACACCGTGATTATACTTTACTAAAAGAGATTATACAAAAATATATATTAATTAAAAGATAAGATACTAGTTTCGAAATCTTGTTTGAGATTCATCGTTGTTCTGTTATTGAACTCTCTCTCTCTCTCTCTCTTCCCCCCTCCCTCCCCTCCTCCCTCCCTCCCTCCCTCCCTCTCTCTCTCCCTCTTCTCTCTCCCTCTCTCTCTCTCTCTCTCTCCCTCTCTCTCTCCCTCTCTCTCTCCCTCTCTCTCTCTCTCTCTCTCTCTCTCTCTCTCTCTCTCTCTCTCTCTCTCTCTCTCTCTCTCTCTCTCTCTCTCTCTCTCTCTCTCTCTCTCTCTCTCTCTCTCTCTCTCTCTCTCTCTCTCTCCTATCCCCATTCTCATCCTTATCATTTCAACTCCATGACAATTTCCTCCCTTCCCATAATATTGATTCATATTCATCCCGCTCACGTAACCCTTTCTTCCGCCTCTTTACCGCCAGCCAAGACTCGTCCTCGGATCGGAGACTTCTCGGCCTCTCTTCCTCGGACGACAGACTCCAGGCAGAGTCCTCGAGGCGACGCGGGACTCTGGGACTTATCCTACCCTCCTAACCCTCCTCCTTCTCCCCCAACCCCCCCAACCACGAGTCCTTCCCCCCTAACCGCCCCAACCCCCAGTTCTTCCCCCCCGCAACCCCGAGTCCTACCCCCCTCCCCCTCCCGGCCGTGACCCCAGGCCCCGCCCCCCTCGGCCACGGACGCCTTCGACCAGCTGCTCCTCCACAACGCCCTCTTGTCCTCCGGCGTCCCTTTCCCCTTCCTGACGGAGGCGGAGGCGTCGCAGATGCTGAAGGAGGCGCCGCGTCGGAAGCGCGGGCTCTCGGCGGAGTGCTGTAGGAAGGCCTGCTCGGTGTCGGAGCTGGTCGACTACTGCTACTGAGGCCGGCCGCCATCTTGGAAAGCCGTTGGGGGGATACGGGCGCAAAGCCAATTCGCGACAATAAATGGCGTCTAAATCATTTTTGAGTGTTTTGTTTTTGTTCTCTTAGCAATGCCTGGCGAGTAAGATGGAATGTCTCGTGGATGTTGTTATTCATATGAAGATGAAAATGGAAAAAAGTATTTATAAATATCAAATGATATACATGATTTAACCTTGTTTATAACCACAATGATAATGATGATAATAATAATAATGATAATGAGGATGATAATACCATAACAATAAAATGATGACAATAAATGATAACACTAATGATATATGATAATGGTGATATTGATAATGATAGATGAAGTAATAGTAATAACAATCATAATGATAATGATATTAGTGACAATAGTAACAGAAACATGAGCAATGAATAATGATAACGATTAATGATTATGAACCGTATTCATGTTGACAAATATAGAAAAGGTAGTATGAAAGAGAGAGAGAGAGAGAAGAGAGAGAGAGACAAGACAGAGAGAGAATATCTTCACAATACAAGAGATGTATTTGACCGGTTTTGAATGTATGTTCGTCAGAAATGCAAAATGATAGATGATATGTATTTCTGTATTTCTGACGAAGATGCATTCGAAACCGGTTCAAAATACATCTCTTGTATTATGAAGATATTCGCTCTCTCTCTCTCTCTCTCTCTCTCTCTCCTCTCTCTCTCTCTCTCTCTCTCTCTCTCTCTCTCTCTCTCTCTCTCTCTCTCATCTCTCTCTCTCTCTCTCTCTCTCTCTCTCTCTCTCTCTCTCTCTCTCTCTCTCTCTCTCTCTCTCTCTCTCTCTCTCTCTCTCTCTCTCTCTCCTCTCTCTCTCTCTCTCTCTCTCTCTCTCTCTCTCTCTCTCCTCTCTACCATTCATACCTCATTCATACCTTGTCTACAATTGACGATGATGTTGATAAGTGAATGATGATTGCAAAGATTATGAGGAAGAGGTTAATGATGATAATGGAATAACAAGACGAAGTAATGATGATGATGATGGATACTGATAAGAATGAAAATAAATAATTATGATAATGCTGATAATTAAGAATGATAATGATGGTAATGGTAGTTATAATAAGAATAAGGATAAGAATATATATAGCAATAATGGTGATAATCATACATACATGTATGTATGTATGTATGTACACATACATACATACATACATGTGTGTATGCACACACACACATATATATATGTGTGTGTGTGTGTGTACATACATACACTCTCGCAAATGATTATGAACGCCAAACATTATCTTTGCCTGAACTACTATAATACTAATACAAATACCTTTTTTCTAATTCTAAACAAAACACTTTTTTAGCCACTCACTGGCCACCGGATTTTTTGCAAGCTTGTAGTACAGTGAACCCTCGTTACAACGCGGTTCACCTTTCACGTTCTCGCTGCTTCACGGATTTGCATTGTGCATTGTGTTCTGCATTCTGATTGGCTGAACAGTCTCTCCGCTTCTTCTCGACCTGTGTGTCAATAACGTTACGGTTTAATATGTACATGTACGTAAAACAGCTTGCCAAATTTAAGTTTGCAAATTTTCTCTAAAACCCATGAAGCCTTCAGTTCGTATTGATGATTAAAATTATTATATTATAGTTCATTAGTTATTTGTAAAAAAAAAACGTTTATACAGTACTTTTATTTGTTAAGCAAATGCTTGGGCCCGTAAAAAGGTTTTGTTCTTTGGTTTCAATGTATTGTAGAGTATTGCATTGTATAATAATGTAATAAAAAATAATGGTTACTACTTCACGGATTCGCCTATCACGGGTTCTTTTCGGGTACGTAACCCCGCGAAAACGAGGGTTCACTATTATTAGGCTGCAAAGATTGTCGACGAAGGTGGGACGTCAACACCCATTATTGGAATCGAAGCTGCAACGTATTTTGGCGTCGCAGTCAAAACCAGCATTTCATCTATTGTTTCCTCTCTTGGGAAAAGGGATTCGATTCCCTAGAGTGGCGGGCGTCTTGTATCATGACAATCACCTTTAATATTTTTTTTTCTATCAGGCTTTCTAATGAATTCCTATGTGATTGTTGTTTTTTTTGTTTTTAAGCTGAATAAGCACTGATTTTTTTTAAACACTAAATCCTGATATTTCCTTTATTTTAATTTTACTGGGACATCCGAAAGAATAATTACGTTCGTTTCCCGCCATTAAAAAAAAAATGTTTTCTTTCTTTCCATAACTTTTCCTGACGCTTCAGCGGTCATGCCTACACTAATCTCATCTTTCCTACAACTTTCCACTTTATTATAACCTAATATGAGTTCCAGAACTACTTTTATTTATTTATTACGAGCGTCCTTTCTTCAAAATACGAAACCTGGCAACCCTCACTGAATTCATATATTTTCCTATTTAAAGCGTTCAAAGGAAGGCTAGATCAGTAGCAACTCGGAGGTGTCATGGCGTCTGATTCTATTTTTAGAAGAAAAAAAAAAACACATGGGGTTTGTTTTGATGACGTCACAAAAGTTACGGTCGATCATTTTGGTCTTTTCAATTTTCAAAAAGGAGGGAAAATAACGATCTTGATGGTTATATTTTGATTGAACACAAGAACAGGAGGAAATGTTAATGGAGCCCTCACGTAACTTTTTTTCTTTCTCTCTCTTTTCCTGTTTCATAATTTGTACAAACAACTTGTGATCTCTTTAAAAAATAATAATGATAATAAAATAAAAAAAAATATACGCTTATCTTTTAAAAGCGTAGATGGCGTAGTGAGAGAGAGACAGACAGACTGAGAAGAGAGAGAGACAGACTGAGAGAGAGAGAGAGACAGACTGAGAGAAGAGAGAGACAGACTGAAGAAGAGAGACAGACAGACTGAGAGAGAGAGACAGACAGACAGACAGAGAGAGAGACAGACAGACAGACTGAGAGATGAGGAGAGAGAGACAGACTGAGAGAGAGAGAGAGACGAGAGAGGAGGAGAGAGAGACAGACAGAAAGAGAGAGAGAGAGAGAGAGAGAGACAGACAGACTGAGAGAGAGAGAGAGACAGACTGAGAGACTGAGAACTAGTATTTTTTCTAATAATCCCCAAAGAATTAACCCATGCAATCTGTTTTGTATCATCTATTTTCAATCTTAGAATGAGTGCTTGCGAACAGACAAAAGCTCACACTCACATATATACATAAACACACACATATACATATATACACACGTACACATAAACATACACACACTTAAACAAATCACACACTCACACAAATGCACACAAAAATACATAAATAAACACACACAGTCACATACATACAAACACACACAAACACATACATAAACACACAAACACATACATAAACACACACAAACACATACATAAACACACACAAAACACACACACATAAAACGCACACATAAACACACACATACATAAACACATACAAATAATACACACATACAAACACACACACACACAAACACACACAAACACAACAAAAACACACATATACATACAAACACACACACATAAATACACACGTAAACGCACACACGCTTTTACACGCATCCCAATTTCGAAAAAAAATAAGTAACGTTTAACAAGAAATAAACACCAGTTCAGCATTTTACAGCAATTTCTCATGATTTAAACATCGCCAAACAATACCTTTTAGTCAACAATTTCTCAGAATCTCCTTATTAAGAGGCCAAACAAATCAAAATTATATAAACAACATCAAAGAGTTGTTTTAATTTACAATATCGTTCTGCTTCTGACACATTTCCAATTCTATAAGCGAAGCGTATTATTAATTATATCTATTGGCCATAAGCCATTGCTGCAAAAGGTCGTTTGCGAGTATATATCTATCTATGATTATCTGTCTGTCTGTTTTCCCTTTCTACTCTTGTCTATCTGTTCATGTGTCTGCCTATTTTTCTTTCTGTCTATCTATTCATGTGTGTCTATTTTTCTATTTGTCTATTCAGATGTCTCTCTATCTAGTTTTCTTTCTATCTATTTTCTTTCTATCTTTCTATTTACATTTTTCTTTCTGTGTGTTTGTATTCACATGTATACGCACACGCACACATTCATACGGTCACATGCATGAATATTTTGTTTGCAAGTATTCTATGTCCATCTGACACAGACTCATACACGTACGCGCGCGCAAACACACACACACACACACACACACGCACACGCACACGCACGCACACGCCACACACACACACACACACACACACACACACACACACACACACACACACACACACACACACACACCACACAAAGACTCACACACGTACGCACACACACACGCACACACACACACACACACACACACACACACACACACACACCACACACACGCACACACACCACACACACGCACACGCACACACACACACACACACACACACACGCACACGCACACGCACACGCACACGCACACGCACGCACGCACGCACGCACACACACACACACACACACACACACACACACACACACACACACACACACACACACACACACACACACACGCACACGCACACGCACACGCACACGCACACGCACACGCACACGACACAGACTCATACACGTACGCACACACACACACACACACACACACACACACACACACCACACCACACACTCACACTTCACACTCACACTCACACACACACTCACACTCACACACACACATACACACACACA